GAAATTTTCCGAGAACGATGTTTAATGCCTGTAAGAATATTTATAGGCCTTCACTGAGTTAAAAAATCTTAGCTTAATTGTTTGAAAAATAAATTGGGAAGCTTATCATTACTACCAAATCCCTCGACAACGTTCAGAAGTATTTACCAAAGCATGGCACGCAAAATTGGATGTTCCGCATTCCTCTCTCAGCCTCTTCATTACGTTCTACACTTAAGAGTCTTCCGGGACTAGTATGAACTGTGCGTTATGCACGGCCTCAACATATCCACAATAACCCGCCATGCAGGTTCCTCACTTCTTTCGCGGTACGACACAGGGGAATGAAGACAACCTCTCGTAATGCTGTTATTAAAACAAGAAGAAGATTGAAATTGTGTATGAGTTGAAGTCAAGCGTAGACGTCGGATGACTTATTACTGACGTATTTACGCAAATAGTTTGTGTCTTAAAATCACAGTTGAACCTCAGAAGACATCCAGGGCCTATAATTTCAAAAAAAGTTAAGAGATCGTAAGTTCATCAGCCAATCATTGACGGCCTTTCAAGCAAAATCCACCAATCATAGACAAGAAAATAGAGCGTAAGTACTTAAGTTCACATAGCGATTTTGAAAGTATGTCCCCCTGGCCCCTAAATTCATAGTGATCAAACCTCAAACATTTAAATTCGCCGTTATATATATATATATAAAAACAGTATTGGTGATACTCTAAAATATCAAATTGCGTTTAAGGAAACACACCTTTATTGTGGTTGCGAAGACCGTGCGAGTTATTCTTTAAATGGCCACTATTATTATTAATTCCGCACCTCAGACTCGGTCTGGCTTCTATATGTGGACGTTTTGTTCATTATATATGGGCAACAGATGTCTACAATTTCACACCTGCATTAACACCAGAATTGTGGTGCTCGTGCATGTGCATGTGTTGCAACTGCGCAGCAGAGTGGCCGATTTATTGAGATCGCCAAGATTGAAGCAATGACTTGCGGGTTCGAGCCTTGGCTATTTGCGAATTATTCTGGTCGATATCAGCAAACTGACCGGTTGGGTAAGAATAACAAGATTGGGGCAGAGAATTCAGGGTTCGAGAAGCTTGATTGGCAGTGTAAATTACGCGATGTCTAAAATGTAGGGACAGCCCTGACTTGGCTTAACCCTCGACGCAGCTTCAACTATTTTACATTCCACAATATCAGTAAATCAATAGGAAAATAATGCGTTCTAGCCAATCGTCTTTATTCGCTGCAACATTTTATAATGTAGAATATGTTTACCTTTGAATATGACTCTATCCACCAATAGACTATATATGTTCATATATCGCAATAATGCATATATATCGATATATAACACTCGAATACGATGGAGGAAACAAGCCCAAGACTTATTTCTTCCAAGATAGGGGAAACAAGTCCACGTATTCGCTTTGTGTTGTTTCCTCTCGCATCTATGTTGTTCCATCATTCATCATCTGGGCATTTTATCTGAACTGCATAAATTTAACTTGAGGGGGCAGTATCAGATGCGCAATTCTAGCAGCCTCGCTGGAACAAAATGTGTGACGCGAATATTGGCTTTCTCGAGACTGACTAACTCCGAGAACGTCTGATCATCGACTAGTCGAAAGATTATTGGAGATAAACCTTCGCCAGCCAATGAGTTGCGCTAGTAAGGCACGAAGAGCGTTTTGAATTTAAGCGATAATTTATCCGAATTCTCTCCTGAATGATTGCGAGTTCTCTCTTGGAAAGAATCTAAGCTCTATATCTCCCTGGTGATGGTCATTGCGTTCATGTTTCTTTTTAAAAATTTCTTTCAAAATGAATTTTACATGTAATATTGCACCAAGTGATTAATGATCGTGGATATTTGACGTTTACGAGGCAGATTCTGACATTTTCTTTTCCACTTCATTTCTGCACTACTTTGAAAGAGATGCTTAATTTTTTTCTCTTCGAAGGGATCACTAATGTCCTAAAAATAATCTAACGAATATAAAAAGCCATCGACGTAAAACAATTATAATTCGAACATCGATTAATATAAGACTGACGACAATTTTTCTTTTATCTCTCAGTCATAGTTTCCGATCATAAAAGCTGTAACTCTAAGAAATAATGCGATGGATGCGTTCGGTGTCTCTGATGTTGCATGGAATTGCACGAGAAGGCTAATAAAGTCGCGAGAAAAGTACAAATGTATTTTTCTTGTAAAGAATTTCTTTGTGAGCTTCATATTTTTTTGTATTATCACAACATCCCGATGATATGCAATATATATCAATATTTTTCTCTGTGTCTGCTGTCTTTCTTTGCCTCGTGCATCATCAAGACTAGTTACAAATTCGCCCTTCATTTAACTCACGCGACTTTAAAAGTTGCCAAATATGCGATGTTCTGCGAGCTTCTCACGGCAACCGTACGGTAACATTCCTTGTCCTAAAATGAAACGATTTACTGGAAGCATCCCGTTTGGATTTTTTTCGTTTTGAACTCATTGAAACATTTACATCTAGCGCTACTTAGGCATGTATGTATTTCATAAATTTTGATCATTTGAGATTCTAAATGCAGTCAAAAGACCAGTTTGTCTATAGGAACGCGATGATGAGCCGTGAGCTGGCTATACAGGCCGTATCTATCATTATATAGTTCCTGGATTTGCACTTTTCATGGAGCCTGTTGATTCAGGAATTGGCCGTGCCGAGCAATTCATATGGCACTATAAAAGCCTTTATGAGAACAAAAGGCTGCCTGCCAGTCTGCCAGAACGATCATGTCAGCATACCACGATCGTGCGATCCTTAGTATTTGATTGAATACGTTAACAAAAGATTCAGGTGTTGGCAGTGCCTAGCTGGAAATCTCCTGTAAATTTATAACTGAGAAATAAATTATAATGCGTAATTATTTTGAGTATTCGGTAATTAAATTTGTTTATTAGTGTTAAGATCACTTGGTTGATTAAAGCGCAATTTTACCATGTATATTTGAAAGCAGCCAGAAATTCACAATTTTCCAATTTCTCAATTTCGATTCCTGCTCCATCTTCAGCTCATAAACCTAGAACACAAGTACGAATAACACAAGTACGAATATTTAGTAAACTAAAATTCATACTGAAAATGTTATTACGTAAATTTTTAAATATAAACAAAATAAAAATGAGAAAAAAATATGAATAGATAATATTTTATTGTAAATTTTACTTTACTAATTGTTTGTACTTATGTTCTATGATTTGGAGCTGACGATGGAGCTGGACTCAGAAAAATTTTCTCCTATAAAGTAATGGTGGAGAATTTTTTGGCTCTCTTCTTAGTTTTTAAATTCTTTAGAATTTTGTTCAGGAGTTATTTTCTATTAAATCATGTAGGCGGACATGTATGTTTATGTGCGTTGTGTAAATATAATCTCTCTGTATATTAGCGTCAATATGGCTTAATTTTCCAAAATCTAGTGGGATCGTCGCAATTAAGAACAGTTAGCGTTATACGCAGGAAATGAACGCATCTAAAGCGACATATTATCATAAGCAGTCGATGTCACTTTATATGACTGCCATGTATTCATCTTTTGGATAAATAGTTATTATAAGTCACAATAATAAGCTATTATAACTAATTTATGAAACACAGAAACTACCTAACTTTCCAATTGCTGCAAAATAAAATTAATCCGAATAAATTCCGTGAAATTTCAAACTCGAGCCCACACCTCCAAGGATGCAACAAAATATCGGTACACTGCACGAAGAACGGAGCCTTGCATGTTATCCTATAGGTGCACGACGGTCGCGGTCTTTAATAGAGTTACTCGTATATTCCCAAACTTGGCCGGCCGTTCAGTAGGTGAATGACTGTCTGCACGACTTATTGGCCACGTGATGATCGAAACTATCATATTTATGAGCGTAAACCGGCCGAATGACTAGCGAGACGGCATGACAAACCTCATCCAAACCACTCTCTCGCATGCATGGAAAGATCAACTACGAGTATAAAAAATAAGGAAATAACTCTCTTTCAGAAGCACTCTCATTTGACGTAAAATTTCGGAAAATATTTTTGCAGAATGTTCTCAGCAAAAAGATGAAACTTTGCACGCAAACAGCTTGAAACTCATCACATTAGTCTTAAACTTCTATGCAAAGTTCCTGGCAAAAGTTAACGTCTTTCACTGCGACTTATAGTTTTCAATCGCCCGAAAATAATTTTAATGCACTTCAGACTTTGCTGCTTGCCTTAAATATTTTTTTTTTTAATGTGACGAGAAAGGCTCTCAAACTTCCCTGTTGATTTTTTTATATCATCATCGGCTCTTTTTGGTCTTACGCATTGGATGGTTCAGATGTTTTGAAAACAAAAACATTTTACGAAAAGAAGATAATGTTTTATTGTTAGTCTTAGAACCATGAGCACGAGTCCTCTTAATTGCGTATTGTAGGTTTCTCTATTACTTACAAAGCCTGATAAAAATGCGTATGATGAACTTTCTCTCATATTCAAAAGTTTTTGTTTTCGTCCATCATGTGTGGCTATTGTTCCCATAACTAATTACCTTGGAGATCAAATCTTAGTTTCGGCCGTTGAGTATAAAAAGAACTTTAGTGAATAATCAACTCAAAATAAGCTCTTATTAATCTACTCAAATTGCTAACGCAAAACTTTTGTAACGAAAGGTGCTAGCATGAAAGGTGCCACCATGAAAAGTGCTACCATGAAAGTTGCTGTTATGAAAGGTGCTACTGTACTCCCAAGCAAAGGACCCAACGTATCATTGTCATTCGTGTAACATTTTAAATCTTAAAAGCTACTGCTGTACGAGCGGTGGCTCGTAGCTCTCTTATCAAAGCTACCGCTCTTCGAGTACATCCAATGGCAACCAAACTACGTACCAACGGATCAGAATGCAAGCTCTTATTTGCATGAATAGAGTAGCGCCAAACTAATGCTCGCTTATGAATGAATAAATTTTCCGTCTTTGCCCTGCAGAAGACAACGACACTCAAGACCCGGAAGCGCCTCCACCCGGTAACTATGGGCGCCGGCGCAGTCGCGCTGTTCTCTACCAGCTCTCCGGCCACTACAAACAGGACAAGATCAAAAACAAACTCAAGATCAACAACGTGAGTAATCACAGAGTCATGCTTGCTCGTGTATCTTACTATTGTTGTATTTCCCTCGCATGATCTATGTCATCATGAAAATCAAATGGGTAGGAAATCTTTATTCTTTGAGTGAGTTCCAGCTTAACCTGTTGTTCATGTGGCTGTGAAAGTTAATTCTCTTGATTGGCTGAGCCGTTTAATGTTGGCATTGTGATTGTAATGCATATCTATTATACATTGACGCGAAATTCATTTGCCGGTTCACGTTCGCCTACTCAACCAAATGCATCCTTGAAAACTGATTTGTGTTTTTTTTTCGCTTAGCTTGACCTTCCTTGGTCATCAGCATATTCTTATGAGCATATGCGATATTTTCGAATTTTTTAGAGATTTTAATACTTCTAAAATGAGCTTTTTCTGTATTTACATTAAACAGATCTTCATTAACTTACGTGTACTCCAGAATTTGAAAAAGTATCACCCTTTGTTATATATGGGCATGAGTATTTACAGATGTACTTATTTTGTGACTGCACCGAATGTTCTCCGTCATATGAGCGAGGCATATAACGCGTGTGCAGGCTGACGCTCACAATGTACACGGTGTCAAAAGTGTCCTTACAACTTCTGAATTTACAGGATTTGCCGTTCAGCTGAGTCGTCTGACATTGCAGTACATGCTCCCAAGTTCAACAAATTAGTTTGAAAGATTTCACAGAATGTCTGTTGGCTTTGTGTATTTGCAGCTCCACTGAGACTGAAGTTCTAACTACTGTTCTACATACAGTGGCAACCTAACTACGAGCGAATCGGAATGCAAGCTCGCTTTTGCATGAATTAATTTGCACCGACCTAATGCTCGCTTTTGCATGAATTAATTTGCACCAAACTAATTGCCATCGACACGATTTTTAAGATTATTTTGCTCTTGATGTTCAGTGAGGCGAACGCTGTGCATGGTCGTTCAATGACATAACTTCATTCCATTTCCAAATCCATTAAGAAAGCAGTTGCCGTTTGACCATCCCCATTTAATTCACAATAATGTTAATGTCTAATGAAACAATTGGACCTGATTTGATTAATAACGGTGCATCGTATGAATCTATTTTTGGCAAATATCATATCTGTCACGGACCGATAATAATTCTCCCCAAGTCGAAGATAGTTTCCCAAATCGCAGGTTGTTTGTAGCCTTGAAAAAAAAAAACAGATTCCGTAAAGGTTGATTGATACTATAACCTTTAAACAAATAAATCCATTGTTCCCATAACCGTTCACCATAAATATCTTTCGTAGCCATAACCGTTCACCATATCAAGATCCATTGTTACGAAAACAATGACCATAAAGATCTATTGTACTGCCTGCAAAACAAGAGACATCTTTACAAGACTTGCGCTGCGACAGAAGCGACCGGAAAGAGAAAAGAACAGAATCTCCTGGAGGAGGTTAATTGCTGCAGGGATAATCCACGTCTATACAAGAGACTTTCGAGTTGCTCTTAATTTGTCAGAGCTCTGAACGCAATATGAACGTCGAGCTGAATGACAGAGACGAGAGCCTCGTGATCTCTTGTCCGAACCCAGCCAATTAAGCGAAAGGTTTTTTTTTTTTCATTTTCACGTGCATGAATTGAATAAAGCTATGTTTCAATGAATGTTTTCTTAAATATTTATATAGATTGCTTCATGTAGCGACCTCTTAAGATCTTAATTTCCACGCGTACTTGAACTCCATTATTGGGTTACAATTCTTTTGGCACCTTTACTTTTCATTTCAAATTTCAATATAATGCTTAATTAAATTATTTTTCCGATGTATAATTTGTACAACAGAAAAATAAAAATGGTTTCATGTGGGATTTTGCCTGACGCATTTTTATTGTTGTTCGTAACGTTCAAAGAAGTGAAGCTCATGTGCTCAAATTTCGGCATGAATAATGAAATTTCTTTGTTATTACTAATTCCTACGCCTTATGTAGGGAGATGTAGGATGTATGCGTAAACTTGAGTTGCAATCTCTCGCAATACTTTAATAAACTTTCGCTCGAAGTCACTAAGTTGGCCGACTGCGTTTTATCAAACATCTCCATAAAAATAATTGTCTGTTTGGTTATTGAATTGGAACAGAGGACATATCGCTGCACGCGAGAATATCAATAGAATTGATGGTAAATTATAAAATATTTTAAATTTGTAGTTGATATGTGGCTAAGAAGGTAGAATTATCGTGTCTAATGTTGTCGGTGTTAACATTAGTCAATTCTTTGTGTTATGAGAACCTTTTTTCAATAAACGATTAGCAAAAGAGACACCGTATGAATTGGCAAGAGGCCCTGCATCACACGATCGTGCCGGTAGTGAATGTACAGCATTCATCTGGCCGGTAGTGTATGTACAGCATTCATCTGGCTGGTAGTGTATGTACAGCATTCATCTGGCTGGTAGTATATGTACAGCATTCATCTGGCTGGTAGTACTCATCTTGATGAATTGAATTTGAAAATTCAAATTCAAAGATGAATTTGCTTCATCTTTTCTTCGATGATTTGTTTATTCGGATGTCATTTTTTATTCATATTCAGTCTATATTTATGTTCTGTTATTTTTATTCTTTTATTTTCAGATGATTTTATTCTTTGACGTGTTTATTTTCATCATTCAGTTGTTCATAAATCTACCAATTATAATCATTTGTTATTTAATTTTGGTTTCTTTCAATTTTAAGTGTTTCAAGTGTTGGAAATTTGCCATCGAGTCATTCACTCGTGAACGAATAGCTTCTTAAATTTGTACGCGTGTAGTATGCGCAAATAGATTTTCATAATATAGTATCAAATTATAAAGTATAAAAAATGTTGGCGCGGAACATTACGCCAAGTTTGACCTGTCGTCGATTTTTGTAATTTTTGTGTCATGCTCACAGGAGATCTAAAAGCTGGTCTTTTGCCGAGATCTCCGCAAAACTGACGTTTAAATAAATAGTCACTTTACCTTTAATAAGTCCATTCGTCGTTGGACTTCTTCGTGTCATAAGTTTATCTAGTCTGCACCGAAATTCGTTCGTGCTTTGAGCGTCAATGGGAGTCTGTTATAAAACGTATCAAAAAAGTCTTATAAAACGCATAAAAAATTATATTTTCAACTCAATTTGCTTCCTGCGCACACTAATGGTATGATTTTACTACAGAAGGCCTGCAACGCGGTCAACATTATGAGGTCCTTAGACTCATTAGCAGCTGAGAGTCAAGTTCAGCGAGCGCCGGGCGTAATAAGTGGCAAATTGACCTCCGCGGCGACGCAGCGAGCCGTGCAACCCACCAAGAAAAGATCCTGAACCACACAAAGCTCGATGACGAAGTGTGCTGAAGAAATTTGTGCTATACTAGCAGCGGGAGGGAATGGTTCTTTTTAGCGCATTTTCTCATTTATGAAAGAAATGCACTATTGTGCTTGCCATGTCCGTCGGTCCGTCCGTCCGTTCGTCCGTGACTTCAGGTTTTCGTCGACGAAAAAATGCGCTATCTGTCACTCACTGCAGTGAGTACTGAGTTATATTTTTGTTACCTTGGCAGGGGTTAAGGAACGGCTTCGTGTTTCATTATTGACCCGTTCCTTGTTGCGTTCAGTTTCAGTGGCACGGCCGTTTATTTTTAGGATACCATTAACATATAATGATTTGAGAACTAAACTGCAGGTACATGCATATTTTTAATAGCATTAGTTCTCTTAAAAATTTTTATGACGCTTCTCGTGCGCTCAAGTACTTTACACAAGGGTGCCTGTGGAATAATCTACTTCCAATTTGTTACCGTGCCGCAATACGACGTGGAAATACAGAGAAAAGACGTTCTCAGAAACGTATTTTTCGAGGTTCGCTCGGTTTTTCTTCTATAAAAAAGTAAGTGGCCGTGAAGTACGAAGTCGCCAGAGCCACGCAAACAGCGATCCAGTGCAACGAAACTATGTTAAATTCAAGACTGAGATCGTTGTTCCGACATTAATGTTTCGCCGAATATACGAGAAATTAGCTCCAACCGTATGCAGTTGTCAGGAGATGGTTGAGAAACTAACCCTCAATTGCTTTATCCACGAAACAAGACGTTGCTTTGAGCACGGACGACACAGAGCTACTCGTGTCTGCTCCAAATCCAGCGCGCTGCCTTCAAGACAAACGGGCAATTATATGGAGTGACTGCCAGTTTGGCGTCAGTTTACGCAGGCTTGGAGCACTGAACACTCGCGTAACTTCTGCGGCTCTCATTATTCCTTGGCAAGTGTTGCTGGAAGTGGTCAAATTAACAGACTTCATAGTGCTTGTAGCAGGTTTTGGTGTTCCTTGGCTGTATGACAGTATGACCAATAATTATGATGTAGGGATCCACATTTAACATGGGCACTTTTATCATGAGGCTTTAATAATTTCAGCACTTAAAATAGCAACTTCTGTATTTAAAGTTGAATGTTTTTTAAAACATGTTTGACTGTTCAAATTACTTATGGATGGTCATTAATGTCGTAGTATTTTTGGAGGCTCACGATTACTCAACAAAATAGTTATCGTGAATTTAGAATCCCGCTGGAAAATATATTAATTGACTGGATATTGAATTCATCAATACCAAATAAAGAAGCTGAATATTCGAAAAATTCGTTTTCGGTGTATCTTTGTTTACGTACCATTAATTTTCTGTGTACCTTAAAATTTCATTTTTTCTAACATTATCGAAATTCGTGAAACATTCTTTTCGTTTAGCTTCTACTTAGAAAATTCTACGTTTGAGCTTTAATATTGCTAATTTTCACAACTATTTTGTCCATAAACATGGCTAAAATCGACGTACTATACGACCGCTCGGTCGAGTATTGGCTAAAATTCCCGATATTGGCTGTAGTGGAGCGTTTTTTTGGAACGTTCCAATACAAAATTCGCCCGCTTCAAAACTTTTTTTCGAACGGGACAACTAATGTGAGAGCTTCACTTTAATGTAAAATATGATCGGTAAAATCAGTATT